CAGACTCCAATAATCCGGCTTCTTGATTTGGTGTAATTGCGCTTAATTTATTAGCCGAAGATGACGATAAATCGATACCACATTAGTTACAGGTGTCGCATTGAGATCGGCATCGATACCACCAGCATAATTGATATTCTTAGGTAAATTTTTGTTATTATAATTATTAATATCTTCACCGCCATTATCAATTTGCTCTTCGTCGTCATCTTTATCGTCATTATCATCGCGAGTGGACAGATCGTGAGAAGTTTTATTTGGAGATTTTTTGGTTTTATCATTATCATTATCTATACTCGTCATACTCTCACACTATTGATTATCAGTCAATCAATCAGCCAATCGTTTAGTCAGGTGATAAATATATAAGACCAAATTATACAAAAATAAATACTTACATATTTATTTACAATTTTATGAAGTGCATTGGCCAAATGTTTCCACGGAATCACCTTAACATTCTTTTCAATATTTCTCGGTTTCGGATTCGAGAATCCCATAATCAACCGAAACAAATCATCACTATCCCTCGAGTTTTTCCCAGCAGTCAACGGCTTAAACCCCTCCAAATTTCGACGGATCCGGTTCTTCTCCTCGACAGTGAAACGCACTGCAAGCAACGCTTCCAAAAGTGAAATACAATCAACCGAAGTGATGTAGTACTCATTTTTGGCTTTCCACCAAATACACGAAACGATAATCGCGTTTGGCGTACGATCTTCATGATTTAAGGCCGCGAAAGACACGTGGATAATATTCTTTTCTTGACGACGCCGGAACTGAACTAGCCGTCGGCAATTTGTCATTTCGCATTCGGTCCAGTTTCGTGCCATTGTGTCGAGATCTCCTTGAATGGCCAGTTTTGTGTTTCGTAACGCCATCGCCGCATCGTCAGAAGAGTCTGCTGGTGGTGTTGATGAAGGGACCACCGGGGAATCTTTGAGTGTCGTTGATGGACGTAATGCCTGTAATGGCATGTAGGGAAAAAATGGCCATTGTGAGGTAGTCGTATAAGATGGTCCAACTACGGGTGTGGCTTCTGTCGGAATCTCGCATTTCGAGTTAGAGTTGATTTGTTCTTGATCGGTACAATGGGTCGAAAATGGAAATTCATGAGACGATTCTATATTCAAGCGTTCTGTTTTTCATAAATAAAACGAAATTTAATTGTCGGTTTTTATCGTGTTAAAGTGTATAAAGTCGTTTATGAAATGAATCTACCATGAGGAGAATTTGACG